ATATATACACACACACATATATATATACATACATACATACATACATACATACATACATACATACATATAGCTAGCCCCTGACCATAGTTGGAACAGGAATTTTGATCTCTAAGCAATGACCAAACCCAATTTTACAACTATTTTTACCCCAGTTGTTAAGCAAATCCAGCTTCTCTAAGTGACTTTGCCTGTCAGGTATCACCTACAAATCGCAATCAAAAATGCTGAAATCATCATAAATATGGGCCAGTTGCAAGATGCCTAAATTGCAACCACATGATTATGGGGATGATAAGATAGTGTAATTGAGAAGATGGGTTGTAAATAACTTTTTCTAAGGCCATCATAACTTTGAAATGAACTGTTGTAAGTCAAGATTTACCTGTACTATATTTTTAGAAGAAATCTTTATTGAGTGCAATGAAACATACTTTAAGTACACACATATAGCTTTGTAGCAATTTAAGAATAAAAGCATAAGAATCTTATAAAACAAATGATTAAGTGGACCTGTGAAAACAAGTATGGTTTTAAAAGCCAAGGCCTGAATCCCACATCTTGATTCATATCTGTAATTAGAAAAAAAGAATTTCATTAAGTTCCCTAACATTTCCAAGTTCATTTGATTAAATCCCATTGGGTACTTCTTGTGGGGTTAGGTTACATCAAATAATATAAATTCACCATAAAGATTGTATAGCTATATCATTATTATTTGGTTACTGACTCCTGTAACTGAAAAGGAAGAGGCTATATTTTCATTAATCTACTGAATTAGCATCTATTTTGCACATCATTCTCCAAGGACAGCAGCTATTATCCTCACAAATACAGAAAAGAAATTGAAATAGTTAGCATACTGTACACAAATAGCAACAAGTTGACACAAACCTATAGTATTTCCATCTGACAAATTGTTTTATCTGTTTTCCCTTCAGAAAGAACTTTCAGAGGAATTTTTGCACATTTTTTGCACTTGCAGAAGATATCTGGAAGGTTCTGTTCAGCTTCCAATTCTACTTCAATCAGGCAATCCCTCTGACTGGTTTCACCAATGAAAGCAAATATATGTGTCCCAGGATAATGTTGCAAGGTCCAATCCGACTTGGTCACCAGAACAAGAGGTTTAGTCTTCTGAGTTTCAGACTCATGCTGGGGATGCCCTCCAGCATGAGTCCGAAAGCTTGCAAGACTAAACTTCTGACTTGTTTATCCCCCCCCCCCCAAAAAAAATCTTGGATTGTGGGTTTCTGCAGGAGTATCTGAGAAAGGGCAACAGTTCTATAGAAAAGTAAATAGAAAACTTAAGGAACAATGTTGGAAATGCTTTAGGGTACAATTTTGTGTCTCTGAGTATCATGGTTGTCCATTATGATGTCCCCTGCCTGTGACACTCTTCTTTGGGAGATAAATATTTTCCCATTTCCAATAATGCAAGTATCTCTGTCTCTTCTGCTGTGGTACTATCGTGCCCAACTATGAGCAGCAGCGAGATGTTTCATACCATTGCTTTTTTGGGGATGTCAACTAGACTCTAATTTAATTCCTTCTTATTTTGCAGGAAATTATTTTTGTGGCCTAGAATTTTGTAGGTGCCTTAAGCGTGTCTAGACCACTGCTAAGAGACCCCACGATCTTCACTTTTCTTAAACTATCTGCAAAGAGGATCCTTGAGGGTGCCTAGGAACCAACCTGATTGTGAGGCTGGGGGGGGGGGGAGAAGAGGGAGGTCGACCCTCCTTTTACAGTCTTGTGGAGGAAGCGTCCTCGGCAATTTGGAGCTTGGATGCGTTGGTACCCATCTGAAACGGAAACGTGGGGAAAAGGGTAGGCTGGGACGAGTAAGACCAATCTGACCCCTCAGACGCTTAGTCCCCGGAGAATAAAAGCAGGTGCTCTCGGTTGGCGGAACCGGGACGGGGTCCTTGCAGGTCATTCGGAGGAAGCATCGTACACGTGTCCCAGGCCTCCCTGTAGTCACGCGCCCACGCGCGTGTCACGAGATCGCGGTGGTGGGGGGAGGAGGGGAAAATCCTCGGAAGAGGATTCGAACGGGCTGCCTGCTGCAGCCGCCGCCGCCACCACCACCCGCGAGCCGGTAAGCCTTTGCTTAGGCGAGTCCCTTCCCGGGCCTAGACGGGGGCTCGGATGTCCGCGTGCACGCGCGCTGGGATAGCGGGCGGGGGCGATGTCCCCGCAGGCAGGATGCGCTGAGCATTACCTAGTTGCCATAGAAACCAGCCAAAAAAAAAAAAAAAAAAAAAAAACCCATGCATTTAACTTAAAAAAAAAAAAAAAAGAGGTTGGCGGCCGGCCGGTGGTAGAAGGAGGGTGGGAGAGGGGAGCGATTTGCCTGCAGTCTTTGCGAAGCAACAGCTTTAGCCGCAGCTTCGCCGGAAGAAACCGACGGCCCCGCTAGAGCGCTTGAGAGCGGGGAGTGGAGAGGGGGCGAGCGGGGAGTGGAGGGGGGCGGACGGGAAAGAAACCAACACCGCCTCGGGTCTGACTCCTCGGGCTCTCTCTCGAAGAGAGGGGGGACGGTCTCGCTGTGCCTCCCACTCTAAGGAACGGCCGGGCAGAGCCACGCAGGTAAGCCCTCCTCCCTCCTTCCTTCCCTCCCTCCCCGGCGAAAAAAGAAACGCAGCAAAGGACGTGCCTGGGGCGGACCTTCGGCATCTTCTCTCGCGTCCTAACTTTCTCCTCCCCCCCCCCCCCCCCCCTCCCCTCTTGCTCCCGGTGGATTGAGGCTGGAAAAGAGGGAGCCAAAGTCTGGCTGTTTCTGGATGCCGTGTAGGTATACGGGCACGTCTGAGAGGCAGTCGGGGTCTCCTGGAGCTGGCATTAGTGGGGAACTTGTTGGGCTTGTGCCTTTCTGGCTTCCGATCATTGCATCGTTATTGTTGTTCATGCTACCAGTAGTATTGCTACTGATATTATTTATTACCCCGTTCCCCCTGGCATTTCACCTGGCCTGGGCTGCATCCCGCAATGGGCAGGTGCGTTGCCCTGACTGGACTGGACTGAAATGAGTTCGGGCTACACCGCTCTCGCCTGATGAGGAAGGAGAGGCGAGCGTGTGGCCGAACAGTTGTTTCTTTCCACCTCACATGTAGACTTTGATGGATTGAGTCGATCGCTGCAGAATTGACCCTCCATGGGGCAATCAGGCAAACGCTATCACTCCCACCCTCCCCGGCTGTTTTGCAACTGTGGTGACGCATTGAGACTGACCTTTCAGGCTTTAGGTGTTTGCACCATTCTCTCTTAAGAAGAAACTGCATTGCTTTTTTATGGTGGTGGTGATGTTTTTTAAAAATGATTGGTTGGTTTTCTTTTAAGAAAGGTTGTTGGGCTGTTTGATGTGTCTCATCACCATGAAAGAGAGGGCATTCCATTTAGCTTTTTTTGTTGTTCAAAGAATAGTATAACTATTGGGGGGGGGGGCAGAACATCTTGCCTCTTTTCATCTGCCTTTCAACCTCCCTTTTGAAATTGCTATTACCAGAGCAGTCAATTAAAATTAGCAGCAGGGGAAATCAAGGCTTCTATCTATCATTTGAGTGTTATTTTAGGGATCTGCAATACTTCCATTATTAATCTAGGGTTAGAGTTAGGAATTTGGAAGTCAGCATGGACATAGAACCAAGCAAGATCAGTGGAGGCCTAGGGCGCAGGGAATGCCAAAATCTTTTTAGCTAAGCTATATTTCTTGCTTCACAGAGTACTGAACCTTATCCAGCAAGATGCCCTCCAGGTGTCTTAGAATTGCAGCTCCTAAAATTCCATGCTGGCTAGGAATTTTGCCAACTGCAATCCTAATGCATCTGGTGGGCACTAGGTTGGGAATGTCTAGTGTAAAATGAATGGTTTGGTTAGAGAAAAACCTATGGGTAAACATCAGAGCTGTCCTTTTTCTCATAAACAACAATCTGGGATTGTGATTAAATGTGCCCTGTGATTAAAAAAAGGCTTTAAAATATAGACTTGATTTAAAGGAACAAGCCAAAATAAAAAAGATGAACTGTGTCTCAGATTATGTAGCATTCTTAGATCACTTTCTTTCCTTATGCTTTCTTGTAGTTTGATTCATGCAGGGCTATTAGGAATGTCTTGAAATCATGTTTCTGAAATTATAACAACATATAGGTTTTATAGTAATGATGATCAAAATGTGACCATTAGGGCATGATGTGACAACCATAGGCAGAGAGCTAATACAGCAGCAATATGTTGAGATGATTGTGTGCTCAAATGGCAATATAAATGGATCTCTTTGAACCCCAGTGGTTTTTTTCAGTTGCATTATTTTTCTGGATTTTTGAGCTACAATCTTGAAATACCATTTTCTAGACATCACTGATGCACCTAATGCAGTCAGCGAATCTTAATCCTTTGCTCCTTTATAAAAACTTCAAAAAAAATTAGAAATCAGGATTATTTGAACTGATATATTGTCCTTAATACATTACACACACTCCATTTTGAACTTAATGTTGTCTGACTTTGCCTGCAGCCCTGACTACATTCTATCCAGTAACCAGATCTCTTCTTGGGCTTCTTGTCTTCATACTCTCATAAATACATTTATTTAACATTAGCTTGCTTCCCCCTGCCCCACACAATTGTCTTCCTCCAAACATCATTTTTCAAGTCCTTACACAACAGAAAAAACTAAGTGATGTCAGTACAAATTAGGACTTGTCAATAGGATTTATTTGGCAGAAGTGGCACCCTGAAACAGCTCTTTGCATCAATTCTGTATTTGAATAAAGGCCAACAGATTCAGCATTCTGCTTCATCAGTTGTTAATGAAATCAGCTGAAGATATCAAGATATTTCAGAAATTTATCTTTGCCATGACTGTAAGCACCCCCAGGCAGGGATGTGCTGTACATAAAATAGAATGAAGTGAATGAAGTTCAGTAATGAAAATATTTTAGGGATCTATGTGGTGAGATGATAAATATTTAGAATGTCATTCTAGTTTTCTCAAAGTGGAGAAGAATAATACTGTATATACCAGAATACAAATAATGAGGAAAATGCAGGTGTTTTCCTTTCCAAATACTGCATTAGGGCATGTCCAAATATAGGTTCCAGGGAGATTGCAATGTTTTATCTCTGTCATAATGTGGCTAAAGGAGGATTGATAATCAGTTATGTGTTGTGAGGATAAGTGGGCATCTGAGGTCTTGTCATGAAAGAACAAATGTAATAGCTACAGTACATATGCTTCTGAAATCATTACATTGTCCTATACCCATCAGGTTTCGCTGACTGAGAAAAATCTCTCAATCTGGCAATTGTTTTGTTGTTTACTTTAGGCAATATAGTCATCTAATGGTGATTTTTAAAAAAATCAGTCTGTGACTCAAAATTGGTAAACAATACTGGTTTTTGCAAGTTTCCATCTTTGCTTCATACCCCAGAAGGAATGAGAATGCATCAATAAAGGAAATAAAAGATAGCAGGAAATATATGGAGATTTTATTAGAATAATTTTGCATCCAAAATGCTGAAAAGAAAAAGGGGAAAAAAGGTTAGCTTAAAGCAATCAGCATTTTCCCCTATATGTAAGGATAAATAAAAATTGATGGTCAAGAAATAAGAAATCACAAAAAGTTAGATCATTTGAAAAGCAGAAACTATGATTATATAATACTGTATAATGCATAGTGTTGCCCAGAATTATAAAATATTGGGGTGGCCTATAAATCTCATAAACAAATACCCTTATTGAAAAGAATATGGTATTGACATATTTCAGGTTATTTATATTTTCTCTTTTATAATGTACATGGCAAAGATCCAATGACTGCCAAGTAATACAAGAGATCTTGAGATATTAAATTATGATCATCCATTTTGAATGGATAGCTTCCTTAACCTATGATGATTTTAGTGGCCAGTTGCACAATGAAATATAAACTTTAAACAACCCACAGCTTTTTCTACTGTAATGACTTCTTAACCCGTGTTTGTGTGTGTGTATGTATGTATGTATATATTTGAATAAGGGTATTTATTTTATTGTACCGTTATGATTAATTACAAATTAAACTTTCATTTTATATATCAACTGAAAGCATTCACATATATAGTTTGGTTGTAATCCTTTCAACAATTCTGTTAAGGAGGTCGGGAATAGGTTCACACATTGTGTTACACTAGATTTGTTTTAACCATAGTTTGTTGACTAAGCTACAAATTCTATGTTTATTGAAAGCATAAGCCATGGCTATTATTATAGAAATCAGGTTATGATTTCATGATAGTTATTTTCCTACATAATAAAGATCTTACGACCAAGGCTGAAAAAGAGCAACCTGCTTTAAGATTACAGAAATCAACCATGAACTACATGAATCATTGCACAATCTTTAACTATGGTGGTGTATCTTCTCTTAAGAAGAATCATAACTGATTTGAGGATAAAACATTTTGGTGCCTGAGGTAAAAGAGCAAATAATACCCTCACCAAATGTCAGTGAGAATGCATAGTATACAAAATAAATCTTCACTAATAAAGTTGCTATGTTAGGTACAAGATAATTTGAATAATAATGACTAAACAGGTTGTGTGAATTCTCAAACTCTCCACTTCTCATATAACTTTTTAAATATATATTTTGATACAAAAGCTTACAGAAGTTCAGTAGGACATTTGGTTCTCTATTGGACTTTGCTGTTTGTATCTGTATAACATTTTTGCTCATGAATTATTAAGGCAAAGATGTGCTGGTATGTAGAAATATGGGTTATGCTTGCTGTTTATTACAAATAGCGGTAAAAGCATTAGACTTTTCTTGGCACAGCATGTGAATTAACCTTTGTTCAGAACTGTAGTACACAGAAATACATATACAGGACCAAGCATAGAAGTTGCTGATGCTTAAAAGCAAATTGGCTCGGATATCTTATTTCACTCGCTAGCTTAATAGGGGCTGAAGCAGGAAATTTGGTGTTGCATGGCACCAAAAATACAAGTGTGGGGGCTTATGCATACTGCCTGGTGGTCCTCTTGTCAGAACAGGCTGGCAACCATTTCTAAAGAGAATTAGGTGGCAGATAAATTAATAAATTAATCCTTTATTAATCCCCCACATGTCAATGTTTTTTTTTGGGGGGGGGGCACACCTTTCTATTATCTCAAGTACTCCTTCTGTTTTGGATATCTTACCTCAGTTTGTTGCAGGCTAACCTAAATACTTCACTGGTGACTTCTCAGAGGCAAAGGCAAGAAGCAGGGGTGAAATTCAGCAGGTTCTGACAGGTTCTGGAGAACCGGTAGTTGAAATTTTGAGTAGTTCAGAGAACAGGCAAATACCACCTCTGACTGGCCCCAGAGTGGGGTGGGAATGGAGATTTTGCAGTATCCTTCCCCTACCACGCCCATCAAGCCACGCCCACAGAACCGGTAGTAAAAGAAAATGAATTTAACCACTGGCAAGAAGTCCCTTCAATTGAGTCACTGCTTACAATATCTCTGTTACATTTTGGATCTACTCTTACCAAGAAGAGTAACTAAGCTCTAGTAGTACAATAGTTATAATGCTTACTACAGGTAGTCCTGGACTTATAACCACAAT